AATAAACACGGGAAGGAATTTATCGAAAGTATTTATAATGATTTCATATATATTTTTATGTGGAAAAAATTATGTAGATAATTTATACATTAAAAGTAAACAAAAAATATTTATATAAACACTGACATTATGAATCTCATAAAATAAAGCAATGTAGAATAAATACATAATTTTTATATTATAGCTTGTGTAAACTGAAATCGATGTTATTTTTTAATCGAAAAGTTTACACACTATAATGTGAAAATTATATTTATTCTGTGATATGAACGATCGAAACGCAAATCGTAAATCGAGTATCATAAAGGAAGTTTATAACGGTATCGCAAAGAAATACATGAACAGTCATCGAATCAATCATATTTTCGAGATGAAATAAAAATCGATAAAGAAATTAGAAACAAAAATATACACATAAATCGCGCTAACGAGATTGACAAGATAAATAATATTCGAAAGCACTAATGGATCCTGATAATGAGGAGAGGAAGAAAATTTGGTAAAATTATTTGATTTGATATATCATTCTGCTCTAGTATATAATTCTTAGCTTTTATTCCAAGATCAATGTTGAGAATATAAAAAAATTCTTCGTAAAACTACTGACCTAATTTTTTTCGTTTATTTAAAAATTTTTTCATTTATTTTTATTATTTTCTTTTTATTTTCTATATTTTACTTTATTTTTTATATACTTAAACATTTGTTTCTTTATTTTTAAATGACTCGAACTCTATAATCATTTCAAATCTAAAATATATCTTGACAGACGACGTTAAATCATGAAATCAACAAAACTGATTTTTTTTTTAATTTGGAAGACAATGAAAATCTTTTTTAAATTTCCTCCTCCCAAGATGTCACATTTGCACGAAATAAATTGCGGAAAAGGTGTTCCATTTCCATATAGCAGAAGCATATGGAGCTCGATTCCAATAAGAATAAGTCCAGTGTCCTTGTTTCGAAAAGCACAGCGTGCAAAAGAAATATTATATTCCACAAAAAATATTTTTTACAAAGAATAGAAAAAATCACTCTTCGCGAGTGCATTTTCACACGACGACATGAGTGACGCGGTTAGACATCGCAATCGAGTTCATCGATCCGAAAATGACAGTCTCTTCATGTTCGCAATATAACGGCAAGCTCAATAAAGTGTACATATCATCCATTTAATCGTGCAATGGATTGACACGAATCTTTTTTCTTTTTTTTGTTTTTCCATACTTTTATTGTCAATTTTTTCTTAGCTTCGATTTCTTCTTTGTTAATGCATGATTGGAATTCTAACAAGATGTCAAATGATGGCTTGCATATACATATGTACCTATTATCATAATTACATCGTAAAATTATATATGTATATACAAAATAGATATAATGATTTTTTTGTTTAATTTAAATTTAAATTAAAATTCTTAAGTTATCAATAAATATTTCTTTGACACGTTTGAATCAATTTTAAAACTTCAAATTAATAATTATTCTCGCATATTTAACTTTTAGTGAATTAAATATTTAGATAATTATAATTTTTTTAGATAATTTTTTTTAAATTTTAATTTAATTATTTAATTAATTAAAAAATTAAAATATGCGAGAATAATCATTAATTTTACGCTTTCAATGAAAATTGGTTCTAAATATCTATACACCAAAGAAATGTTCAATACAATTAAAGATACATATATATTTAAATAAATAAATAATAATCCTTAAGGTTGCCAGTAATAATTAATAAAAAACCACTCCTCAATGTTTAAAGTCGACCAGACTGGCAATAATTATTATAAATAATTATTGAAATACAACAACAACGTTTCGGCTGTCATTGCAGCCCTTTTCAAGTACATCAAATTTAAAACAGTAAATCAACTTCTATGCAAACTACCGACAATGTTAACGCTTGTTTTGATGAACAATGTAAGACTGACGGTCTTACTTGTTCATCAAAACAAGCGTTAACATTGTCCGGTAGTTTGCATAGAAGTTGATTTACTGTTTTAAATTTGATGTACTTGAAAAGGGCTGCAATGACAGCCGAAACGTTGTTGTTGTATTTCAAATAATTATTTATAATAAATTATTGCCAGTCTGTCGACTTTAAACATTGAGGAGTGGTTTTTTTTTTTTTTAAATAAAATGTTAATTTTAATTAAATTAGATTTCAGTTTCAATTTAAATTTTTTAAATTAATTTCTTACAGCATGCTTGAATAAAGCTTGACTTGTGTGAAGTTCATTGATTTAATTTAGGAGAGATTATTCATTAAAAAAAATTTTTTTTAATTACGTATATGTAATTATAGGTATATAATAATTATTTACATAAATAATTATACTATCTAATATATAATTAATACATGAATAATTATGCATAAATGTTGTATAATAAAAATAACAAATAATTGAACAATTTTTTAATGCTGAATAATGCATCCGCTCATTTGATCTCTAATTGCAGTTTTAAAATACAGAGGGAATCGTAGATAACTCTACATACATTCCGTTAGATAAGTAAAGAGACGAGCTCGCTTGACCCGCTCGTGCCGAGTGAGAGGATATGTATGAACAATCTATGAACGAGCATACCCAGGAGAGAGAGTCTATTCTGTATAAGGTACTCGTTGAAAGTGATAATAACAATACACACGTGAACAAAGTGTATCGACACGATTGTCTGCCCAGACTGGATCGCCCAGTTTTCCTCGCCGCGATTCTTACTTATCTCGCCGTAATTTGACCGGCAATTTGTCTCTTCGTGATTTCTCGCATCGCGGCTTTTCCACGAGTTGCGCAGCTTCAAAGGTCATCGTCTGATGCCTAACACATAAGTGTTGCGCGCACCTCCGTGCGATCTTTCTAATTACGCCGCTGGATTCTCCTCGGGGTTTCCAATCTTGATAGTGCACTTAACACGCTTTCGGGTTTCATGCACGGAGAATACAAGGAATGAATAATATTTTTGAAGAAAAAACTCTCCAGAAATTATATCTCACGATTTTATCATATAAAATATACTATGTACTAATATAAATTTTATTATATAAAAATTATAATACATTTATTATATAATCTTTTTAATTATAATACATATATAATTTTTGCAATTCCCACTTAATATCGGGAATTTTCACCCAAATAGCAAACTGACGTCATTAAATGTCAAAATGACGGCATCTTGACGTCTAATAACGTCATTCGACATCTAATGACGTCAGTCGACGTCAAACGATGTCATTCATAATACATTTAATATATAATTTTTACAATTTTACTTAATATTGGAGCTTTTATCCAAGTAGCAAAATGAATTTTGACGTCTAATGATGTCATTTAAAATTACATCATTTTGACGCTTAATGACTTCAGTCATCGTGACATCATTTTAAATAACGTCATTTTGACGTTTAATGACGTCAGTTTGCTACTTGAGTAAAATTTCCCAATATTAAATAAAAATTGTAAAAATTACATAATGTATTATGCTTCCAATTGGGTAGATTTAGCCAATTTGTTATGCTTTTCCTTTCTACCGAAGTCACGTAATTTCTTTTTATTTTGTTTGATGTGATCAATTCCGTTTCGTCTCGCGCAAAGTAGAAAAGCCGAGAAAAAGAGAAAAAGAAACGTTTTCTGCCGGCGCACTCCGGGTAGATTATACCCCGTATCTATCCTTCTTTTACGGTCCGACTATTCCAACCGACAGAGAGTGAACAGTCAGTCCATTAATTATTTCCTCCGACCTGTTCCAGAGGCACCGCCGGCACCATCTCGGGAGCCATGCCGGCTGGCGAGCTCGCGCGTATCCGAAGAGACCGAGGTGGTAGAAAACCGAGCTTGCAGCCGCCTTAACGCACGCACTCGTTCTAAGGAAAAAAGAGAACGAGAGAGTTCTCCCTTCATGACCTCAGCGAACCTGGTCGTCGCATAGTTCCGCGCTGCCCGGTGGATGTCGTCGTCGCCATGGTGGAACAACTGGTGTGCAGCAACTCGCTGAGCCCGGAACCTAACGATCCCTCGTAAATCCTGATTTCGTGCTTCTAGTTGTCAAGAATCGATCGCGGAAGACAATGAGGACGTATCTTCGGCCCGAGAGCCGATCCCGATAAGTGATGCACCACTTTGGATTGGCCTAAAGGTAAGAAAGGTTGAAATCAGGCCTGGATACTGTGATCAAAACGAATCGCGTGTTAGGAGACGACTCTGATATAATTTTGTAGTGATATATCTTATTATAAAACATTAGTGATGAAGAAAAAGTGATACTCTTGAAAAGGATCGGGTTCGATAAGTGATGTACCACTTTGGATTTGCCTAAAGATAACGAAAGTTGAAATCGGGCCTAGATATTGTGATCGAAACGAATCGCGTGTTAGAAGACTTTGATATAACTTTGTAGTGATATATCTTATTGTGAAACGTTAGTGATGAAGAGAGAAGTGATACTCTCGAAAAGGATCGGGTCAATGTGTCACGTGTGACTTGGAATTTGAAGATAATAATTAGATTTTGTTGCTATTAGACGCAATGAGGAAAGTAGCGACATCCTCCGACATGACGGATCTGATCTGAGGAAGGTGAAAGTTGACAATTCACGTGCCACACAACTCGGTGTAATTCGACAGCCCCTTCCGTCATGTAAGAACAATATCGGCATCGGAAAGACATAAGAGAAGCCTCACCCCTCGCGTGACACCAACAGCGAGTGTCGAGTAATGCTGAAGCACATCTTGACGGGCAGCCGTCGTCAACGGGCTCCAGGCATCATCACAATGATTATCAAACAAGCTCGGGCTCGTTGCACGGCGGGCACCATCATCACCACTTGCACAACAACTCGCTGCACCAGGAACAGCAGCCACAGCAACAGCAGCCGTCGCAACATCACCATCATCATCATTACACCGGAAGCGCCGGGACCGCGCGCGGACATCGCGGAAACAACGGCATCGACGTGTGCGATTCGGTGGCGCAGAGGTCGAACGCTCACCAATCGGCGACGACGCCCTCGTCGACGCATCGGCATCCCCTGAATCACTCCCAGCTGAGCGTCAATAACTTGTCGCAACGCCTGAACTCGCACACGCTCAACGTGTCGACGTTGTCCACGTCCAAGCACTCGGTCAACAGCGTTAGTCCGGTGGGTGGTGCGAATGGTAACAATGGCGCTAACATTATCAACAACAACAACAACAACAATCATCACAACAATCACAACGTCTCGGTTGCGAGTCAGCTCGGTCACACCGTGATCTCGCAGACCAACGTCCTCCATCACGATCGGCCGAAGGCGAACGGCGGCCTCGACATCTCCAGGCTGTCGCGGCTGCCGAGCCAGACCACGCCATCGCCCGCACCTGCCGCACCTGCGCTTCCTGCCGTCGCCGGCCAGGTGGGCCCGACGGTGATACCCCTCAACGCCTCCTGGTCCTCGTCTCTGTCCAGGAATCTTCATCGGAACGATGAGGCGGGTGTGAAGGAGATGCTGACCAGTTTGGGACTGTTGTGTCTGGTGTCTCTGCTCCTGGCCCTGCTCTCGGTTATCTTCCTGCTGAAGATCTCCCCGCTCACGGTCACGTCCAACAGTCTCATCAGCCCGGAAGAGTTCGTCATCGTCTACGAGGTCACTCTGGCTCTGTGCGCCCTGGCCCTGTCCCTCAACCTGTGCTGTCTCCTCGTCTGCGCCATACAGTTCCTTTTCGCGGTGAAACTCGTCAAGACTTCGTACCAGGGACACCGGTAAGTCGCTCTTATCAGTGATTATCACCTTTCTTTGACATTACTATTATTATAATTAATCTGATGATCCCGCTCGATCAAAGAAGACTTGGGATCTTGACCCTAAGTAGCAAACTGACGTCATTAGACGTCAAAATGACGTAAATTTGCTTTAAAAATCCTAGAGTGGTTGCGCTGTTTAATGGGACATCTGCCACTCATTTTTAAAGGTCAAATTAAAATATGAAGACATCTGTTAAGCATATTAATTATTTAAATATATGTGTATCAACTTTGGATGATTCTTAACATAGAAAAAAAATGAAAAAAATGTATGCACATGAACTAGTATGTCGTCTCCGCGCAATCACTTTGGATTAAATTATAGCCTGTATGAAGTTAGCCCCCCATTTTTCGAATTTTAAAATTTTAAAGGTTGTTCCAGGTTGTTCTAGACTTGTTCTAAATTGTTCCAAAAGATCAAATTTAAAAAATAAAAATTTTCGCGAAAAATGGAAAAAAACGATTTTTTGACCTGGCCCCCCATTTTTCGAAAATCGAACTTTTAAAGGTTGTTCCAGATTGTTCTAGTTGTTCTAAACATTGTTCCAAAGTGATAATTCCCTAAACAAAATATTTCACGAGATATAATAAAAAAATAGTTTCGTGCGCTAAAACAGTATTTTTACGTTTTCGGCTATAGTTATTATCTCTTAAACACCAAACTGTATATTTTAGCTAAAAACGAACAGAACAACCTGGAACAACTCTCAATTTTGCTAGAACATAATTTTAAAGAGTACTTTACTCTTGGAAATAAACATATTTTTTGTTGTTTTTTTCGTGTTTTTCGACCGATAACGACGTGACAGCGATCCCAAACTATAGAACAATTACGTACTGGCATAGAACAACTTGGAACAACTCTCAGTTTTGCTAGAACATTATTTTAAAGGGTACTTTACTCTTGGAAATAAACACATTTTTTTTGTTTTTTCATCTTTTTTGCCCGCTAAAGTCGCGATAGCGGTCCCAAACTATAGAACAATTACGTACTGGCATAGAACAACTTGGAACAACTCTCAGTTTTGCTGGAACATTATTTTAAAGAGTACTTTACTCTTGGAAATAAACACATTTTTTTTGTTTTTTCATCTTTTTTGCTCGCTAAAGTCGCGATAGCGGTCCCAAACTATAGAACAATTACGTACTGGCATAGAACAACTTGGAACAACTCTCAATTTTGCTAGAACATAATTTTAAAGAGTACTTTACTCTTGGAAATAAACACATTTTTCTTGTTTTTTTGTGTTTTTCGACCGATAACGTCGCGACAGCGGTCCCAAACTATAGAACAATTACGTACTGGCATAGAACAACTTGGAACAACTCTCAGTTTTGCTGGAACATTATTTTAAAGAGTACTTTACTCTTGGAAATAAACACATTTTTTTTGTTTTTTTTCATCTTTTTTGCCCGCTAAAGTCGCGATAGCGGTCCCAAACTATAGAACAATTACGTACTGGCATAGAACAACTTGGAACAACTCTCAGTTTTGCTGGAACATTATTTTAAAGGTACTTTACTCTTGGAAATAAACACATTTTTTTTGTTTTTTCATCTTTTTTGCCCGCTAAAGTCGCGATAGCGGTCCCAAACTATAGAACAATTACGTACTGGCATAGAACAACTTGGAACAACTCTCAGTTTTGCTGGAACATTATTTTAAAGAGTACTTTACTCTTGGAAATAAACACATTTTTTTTGTTTTTTCATCTTTTTTGCTCGCTAAAGTCGCGATAGCGGTCCCAAACTATAGAACAATTACGTACTGGCATAGAACAACTTGGAACAACTCTCAATTTTGCTAGAACATAATTTTAAAGAGTACTTTACTCTTGGAAATAAACACATTTTCTTTTGTTTTTTTGTGTTTTTCGACCGATAACGTCGCGACAGCGGTCCCAAACTATAGAACAATTACGTACTGGCATAGAACAACTTGGAACAACTCTCAGTTTTGCTAGAACATTATTTTAAAGAGTACTTTACTCTTGGAAATAAACACATTTTTTTTGTTTTTTCATCTTTTTTGCCCGCTAAAGTCGCGATAGCGGTCCCAAACTATAGAACAATTACGTACTGGCATAGAACAACTTGGAACAACTCTCAGTTTTGCTAGAACATTATTTTAAAGAGTACTTTACTCTTGGAAATAAACACATTTTTTGTTTTTTCATCTTTTTTTCTCGCTAAAGTTCGCGATAGCGGTCCCAAACTATAGAACAATTACGTACTGGCATAGAACAACTTGGAACAACTCTCAATTTTGCTAGAACATAATTTTAAAAGAGTACTATAGTTTGGGACTGCTATCGCGACTTTAGCGAGCAAAAAAATGAAAAAACAAAAAAAATGTGTTTATTTCCAAGAGTAAAGTACCTTTAAAATATTGTTCTAGCAAAACTGAGAGTTGTTCCAAGTTGTTCTATGCCAGTACATAATTGTTCTATAGTTTGGGATCGCTGTCACGTCGTTATCGGTCGAAAAACACAAAAAAACAAGAAAAATGTGTTTATTTCCAAGAGTAAAGTACTCTTTAAAATTATGTTCTAGCAAAATTGAGAGTTGTTCCAAGTTGTTCTATGCCAGTACGTAATTGTTCTATAGTTTGGGACCGCTATCGCGACTTTAGCGAGCAAAAAAGATGAAAAAACAAAAAAAAATGTGTTTATTTCCAAGAGTAAAGTACTCTTTAAAATAATGTTCCAGCAAAACTGAGAGTTGTTCCAAGTTGTTCTATGCCAGTACGTAATTGTTCTATAGTTTGGGACCGCTATCGCGACTTTAGCGGGCAAAAAAGATGAAAAAACAAAAAAAATGTGTTTATTCCAAGAGTAAAGTACCCTTTAAAATAATGTTCTAGCAAAACTGAGAGTTGTTCCAAGTTGTTCTATGCCAGTACGTAATTGTTCTATAGTTTGGGATCGCTGTCACGTCGTTATCGGTCGAAAAACACGAAAAAACAACAAAAATATGTTTATTTCCAAGAGTAAAGTACTCTTTAAAATTATGTTCTAGCAAAATTGAGAGTTGTTCCAGGTTGTTCTGTTCGTTTTAGCTAAAATATACAGTTTGGTGTTTAAGAGATAATAACTATAGCCGAAAACGTAAAAATACTGTTTTAGCGCACGAAACTATTTTTTTATTATATCTCGTGAAATATTTTGTTTAGGGAATTATCACTTTGGAACAATGTTTAGAACAACTAGAACAATCTGGAACAACCTTTAAAAGTTCGATTTTCGAAAAATGGGGGGCCAGGTCAAAAAATCGTTTTTTTCCATTTTTCGCGAAAATTTTTATTTTTTAAATTTGATCTTTTGGAACAATTTAGAACAAGTCTAGAACAACCTGGAACAACCTTTAAAATTTTAAATTCGAAAAATGGGGGCTAACTTCATACAGATTATAGGACCTTGAAAAGATTCTGACGAGCTCGTATGGATTTATTTATCGGCAAAATTAACATTCGATGACTAATGAAATGAAATGAAATGAAAAGAATCGGGTACGGCGTGTCCACGCATGCGCATGTTTGACACGCTGGAATCCAGTTCAATTATTTTGAAGCTCTAATGGGAGGGTCGGCCGTATTATCGTATGCGACTCGATATGCGGGCAAACCAAAATTCGCAATTAATTAACGCGGTAAAAAGGCGATATTCTCCCTTTCTCCCTTTCCTTCTCGAGCCGATTCGGAATGATCGGCGCGCAATAACATCCCCGTCCTTTTATCGTGACCTTTGGACCCGATGTTACGAAAGCTAAAGGACGATTCACACTCAATGCAGATCTTGATCAGATGACAAAATCAAGGTTATTTATTTATCGGGATTTCACTTATTTTTGAGTATTTTAACCGTTGATTAATTATTTTCATATAGCTATGTATAATAATAATATAATAATAATAATAATAATAATAATAATAATAATATATAATAATAATAATATATAATTGACAAAATAATAAAATTGCTAAATATCACAATTTATTCCAAAAAATTATTTTCAAAAAATAAAATTATTACAAACCATTATTATTGCTAATATTAGTGCACATATAATTGAAAATAATTTGTATAATATTTATACTAATATTAATAATAATTATGTTATATAAGAATATATTATTATTTGTTAATATAATATTATATATTTATTTAATATAATATAAATAATCTATTATATAAAAAAATAATATATAATAAATAATTGTATTAATATATGTATAAAATTATATATTAAATACCACTACAATAATAATAACAATTATAATATATACAATTTACAATAATAAAATTGCTGAATATATATTACATTTATTTAAAAAAAATTTTCTTCAGAAAATAAAATTGTTATAAGTGATATTATTACTATTATTATTTGTGTATATAAATTATAATTGAATATAATTGATAATTTTTATGAGACCGGTGTGTATTAATCTTAATTCAACGTATTGCGAGTAGCGTTGAGATATCTTAGCTAATATCTGAGCTAATAAAGCGGCACGAGAAAAAGAAAAGATGACGTAGAAGTCGACAAGCATTATTGCTGCTTCTGCTTCTGCTGCTACTGCTTGAACATTATTTTCAACATTCGACGAAGTTATGCAAACAACCGAAGGAATTTTGTACGAATCGGAGAATGCGGTCTCACATTCTCGATCGCGAATTTTTTTGTCCTTTTTTCTTTTTTTAGTCGATTTTCTGTATCGCAGCAGATTAGTAAAATTTTATTGGCTTCTCTTGTGTTGATATTTTTTTATAAGCAATTTACGTGGGTATATTACATCTTCAAATTCTAAAGTACTGCACTTTATTCGAAATACTTTAATGTAATGTTTGAACTTATCGTATATTTAGAGAATCCCAAATTTTAAACTACAAAGACTTTATAATAAGGCTGTCTTTAAGATTCAATATATTCTAAAGATGCAAAAAATATTATTAGATATCCTTGAAATTATCTAATATTATTTGAAATTTATCATGCCTAAATTTATAAATATTACTAGTGCAATATTTGAAGTTTATGAAATTGTACATTATATTTTGAAG